CAGCAGGAAGCTTGACCACAGGCACGTCATGGACACTGCGTTTTTCAACGGTCCAGTCACTGGATGACTCAATGGAGTGAGGCCAGAACTGAAACATTCCTGTGGCAATTAGGCCAAGCAGAACTATGGAAAAGAGAGTGATGTAGTAGATGCGATGCTTGGTTTTCATCCTTGGGATGAGGGCTGGACCCCGGGTGTTGTATTTGGCTGACGCACACATAATGGAATCGATTACCTCCTGTCTCTACAAAATAGGAAGAGAGAGGTTTTAGGATGAGCTCTGGAAGAGATACATAGTTATCTCCACACAGAGAAACAGACAGTTAGCCCTTTCAAGACAGGTTCTTTGGCTCGGCAGATTACGGTAGAATCTCTCCAGATGCTCACCTGTCCCAGCAGAATGTAAGATGCCACCCGGGACTGCCACTTGGCAAGGACAACGTGAGGCTGATCTGTTGGGCCTGGCTGTAATGGAATGGTGTTGGCCAGTTAAAAGCCACAAGTCAGAAAAGGACATGGCTTGGGCAGCGAGGAGAGGAAGAAATCTCAGACACTACAGAAGTAGGGAGTCCTCCTAGGTGCCACTCCATCTACACCTAAGTGTATTCATAGTGAATACCAATAAAAAAGTAAAATGGCCATCCACAAGCGAAGAGAAACAACCTGGACACCCCGCAAAGGGCTTGTTACAGGGCATCACACAGAACTTAGAATAGTGATACTGCTTTTAACGTAAAGGTGCTTTCAGACTGAATTTTACAGCATATCCAACTAGAATGATGCTAAACTACTTCTGGCAAGAGAAAGGAATTAATTTGTCATCTTTGTCAATATGACTTTTGCGGAAAAAAAGCATTCTGTGAGCTGCCAAGACAGCCACATTAAGAAAAGCATTTAAATAATAGTTCACTGTAGTCTGAATAACACTTGTAGTGAAAAACATGATGTAATATAAAGTATCACAGAGTCACACAACTACTGTCATCTTTGATGTTTCTTAAAAGTTTTTACACAGAGTATTGTGGTTCCAGCAAGAGGAAATTCGCATTAACTACAGACTGAAGAATCAGCTACTTGTTGCATGCAAAAATCTGTTTAGGTTTTCAGCTAAGGCTTCTGTAATAAATAAATCCCACCTGAACTCTCCACATTGGGAGCTTTTTAAATGTAAAGTAAGCATGTTTCTCCTGAAGAAGAAAGTGGATGGTATAATGTGTTCTCATTTTGGAGAAATGGGATGTTTTCTTCCTTTGTGAGCAAGAAAGTCTGACAGTCAACTGTACATTAGACAACAAATGTGAATAAAAAGATACCAATAAGGCATTAAATGGTTTTTATAACAAATTGGGTTATGTTTACTTTGCAGTTCTTAACAAAAGACTGTTAGGACAGGGTGGCTAACACATGACGTGACTGCACTTACACACAGCAGCACAATCTCAGAAACTACTAAATATTCCACTTTTAACAGCTGCTCTCCTCAATCTGTGTTCACATTCTGATTCTGGAGACAGCTTCTAAAGCCTACTGTACAAGACAATACACGCCCGATGCTGTTATCGGAACAGATGCCAGAATGCCACATTACTGTCAATTCTATGACTAAAAACTTTCAATACGCTTCTGACCGTTAACCATGTAACTCCTCCTTCCTGATACAGCACCAGAACCACTAGCATGATGACAAAGATTACCCATGGGCAGCAAGCATCTGAGTCACTCAGCAAAGCTGTCTGGACCTAAGCCGAGAGGGGGGGAAGAAAAAAACCTCAGTGAAAAGTAACACTCCATGCACCGAATCGTTTAATCACTTTCACACAGCACCTATTCCACCTGGGCAACCCGCAGGCACAAGACAAGGTCTGCCAGCGTTTGGAGCACGGGAACCACAGTAGGGTCTGGGCTGGACGGGACCTCACAGACCACCGAGCTCCGCCCCGGGCCGCGGACAGGGACACCCGGCACCGGCCCAGGCTGCTCGGAGCCCCCGGCCTGCC